ACTATCTTTTTACTTGCCTGAGGCAATAGCAAGAGTACCCTTGCGCCCAATGTATGGGAGTTCTACTGCCCAACCTGCGAGTAAGGCAGCAGGAACACCTATGACACTCAAAATGACTTGCTGTACAGCAGCTTCAGCCATAGAACATGGGATGAAGTATTATACGTACGTTGCGATAGGTAATGTACAAGGATCCATCCCCGAAGACAGCACCACGGCTGGAAAGCCTACGATGCATGAGACAAACAGACAGTATATACCCAATTTGAAGACTCACAGATATGGCAGGAAATTGTTATACAGCGTAGAGGCAAGTCCGATGAGACCTGTATTTCATTAGTCATTGCACGCACAACGATGACTACACCTTTACCCCACATAGCAATCAATAGACTAGTCGACCAAGCCATTTTGGGAGTAGCAAAGAGAGCTTTGATATGACCAGTGTCGTACTTGGAATTCTTGCTGATTATGTTGCGCCTTTCCCCGGAGGATGAACGTTTGCCTGGCATTGCTCTGTCGGGAGCCTCAAGCTCTTCCAATGTGAGGGAAGATGTCTTTCCGTTGAATTTGGCCAATTTGTGGATGACCTCGATAGCATCAGCGTCACGACCGATGCCAGAGAGGAACCGCGGGCTCTCCAACAACGTGAAGATGAAAAACCGAACGGCCCACAGTGAGAGGGTAATTCCGCCAAGGGTGAATAACAGGTAACGCCATCCCATATTGTCGGATCTGGTGCAGTGTGAGGCACTTGCACAAGAATAATTAGCGATCAGAGGCCATGCGATCTTGAAGTCCCATTAGCAATCGCGCGGACGAAGAGACGTGTGATACGCACGAGACTGGACAGTAATTGTCCGAGACACCACCAAATGGAAAGGATAGTGAGCAAGTACTGGTGGGAACCTGGGACGAAGTCTGGTAGGATTACAATGAGTTATCTGTCACGTCCAGATGCGAACTGCTTATCACCAAGAAAAACGGCAGAATCCACTGGCAAGTTACCTGTGAGATGGTCATCAAACGTCCTTTTTGAAGAGAAATGAAAAGTGCAGACCTCCCACGCCGACACCGACCATAGCGATCAAGGACGCTAGTGCAACGAAACTAGGAGCTCCACCCGATACTAAGCCGAATATTCCAGCGATAAACAATGTGGCGTTGAAAGACCACCTTAAGTATCGCATGAAGCGTGAAGAGATCGAAATATGGCGGTATTCTGTCTGTACTTACCTGCGTCCCCAGATGTCACACCCAAGACCCCAAAATACGGCACCGACAAGAAGGCCTATATTTGAAGCTAACGACAGAAAAGGGCCGTTGAAGTGGAATTCATTGACGACAGGGGTAAGGATGAGCCCGCTCAAAAGCTACAGCCAACCTCAGTCTAGTGAAAACATGGCAGAGATGGATAAACACACGGGCCAGACAGAGTCACTTTTTCAGGTTCGCATCAGGAATCATGGATGAAGTGGTCACAATACGACTCACGCAAACCAGCCAAAGCCAGTGACCACGAAGAGATACCACTATGATTTTGAGTTCTCAGGATTGAGATGGACGTTCATTATGGAATGCGACCGACCTGATATCTACCCATGCCGATGTCTTGTATTGCATGATTCAAGATGCGAGCTTTCGCCTGATAGACTGGATCACTGTAGCCGTCTTCGTAAAGATCCATTGGAGGACCTGTGATCGGGTTGATATGTGGAAGTGTGTTGGGCAATGGGGAAGAAGTAGAATGGGCGGATTTGGGGTGGATTCGAGCTTTTGTCATGTTCACAGCTGACATGATGGAAGAAGCCAAGGAACGAGGGTATGGCCTGTGCATGTGAGTACTTGAGTGGTGGGAGTGATAGGTTATATATATCTCGGTTCCGTATCGCGCGCTTCAAGGGATTTGAAATCATGGCAACGTACCAATGGATTTGATCGGGCCAGAGTCTCCGAGTTCTCGTGACGGAAGTATTATGAAATTCATCCGGCGCGAGTGCTAGTCAGCCAATGAAAATCAACCCCCGGCTTCTTAAACTACATGCGAGATATGCACGTGTTGACGTAGCTTTTAGCTTGGCTTCTGCAAGATCGCAGGAGCGACGCAGTCTCTAACAACCTGTACGAAATACCATCAGGAAACTCACGGACAACTAAACTTATCCCTAGCCTAGTGTCAAGTGTCAAAGAGCGTTGAATGGTGACGGGTATCTCCGGTCGGAGTTAGAATTGGTGTTGAGCTTTTTCTTTTCGTCCTCACGAGTTTTTGCAACGATGTCCCGTTTGATTGTAAAAAATCTACCCGCATACCTGACGCCAGATCGCCTCAGAAATCACTTCACACAGCAAGGTGCCCCCTCTGGAACCATTACAGATGTGAAAATTTCACTCAAGCAAGATGGCACATCACGTCGATTCGGTTTCGTTGGCTTCAAGACGGATCAAGAAGCAAGTGCTGCAAGGGACTGGTTCGACCGCACTTTCATCGACTCGACGCGAATCAATGTCACGGTTGTTACAGTAAGTTTTTTTCTTGCCAGGTGTTGGTATTTTGTTTCTAAAAAATTTACTCGCAGGGCGCAAAAGATGCTCCAGCTCCTCGACCAAATAAGAGAAGACGCCTAGAAGATACCGCTGCAGACCCAGGGCCATCATCGCGACCACATGATCACAAGGCGGATAAGAATGGTAAGACGAGCGCACCAGCCCCTTCAACATCAGCGCTAGATGAGTTCATGGATGTCATGCAACCCCGCACAAAAAAGGGTCCGTCGTGGGCAAATGAAGCTAAGGAATCTCATCCAGCACTACCGGTCGGCCCTCCCGAGACAACGACGACATCTGATAAACCAGATAATAACGAGGCTGTCTCGGACCTCGAATGGATGCGACGACGTATGAACCTGGAGTCGGATTCATCACCCGATAAAGTCTTTGAGCAGTCGGATGACGAACACGAGGTCAACCAGAGCCCCATTCCTGAAGAACACCAGGACTCGACAACGAAGACGATTATGCAGACGTCTCGATTATTCCTTCGAAATCTTGCTTTCTCATGCACGGAAGCCGAGATTATGGAGCTATTCCAACCGTTCGGAGAAATTGTACAGGTGAGCATCTCGTAGCCTTGTCGTATATTCTCCACATCCTTCTCTTCTCTTGATGATAAACACTTAGGGACATCTGATCCTCCACGGATATGCTGATCCCCGGGAACCAATAGTAGAAAAAATTATCTGACTTCTATTTCCATTTTACAATTTGTGTCGCCGATCATATCGCTGACTCATTCCTATCCTACCAGGTCCATATGCTCATCGACTCCTTGTCTAAGAATCCGAAGGGTTTAGCCTACGTGACCTTCAAGCAGCCAACGTCTGCCCTCTCGGCATACGAGGCGCTAGACAAGGCGTCCTTCCAAGGTCGTCTTCTCCACATCATTCCTGCTGTTGACAGAAAAGGCAAGTTTGAAGTAGTAGAGGGCGAGGGGAAAAAACAAACGTTGAAAGATGAGAGGAGTTCTCGGCGTAAAACCACGGCTGGGCGCGATTTCAATTGGAGTATGTTGTACATGAATGTTCGTCAAGCCCTTGTCATGTTATGCACTATATATCGAGATCTCATGCAATGCATGTGCAGAGTGATGCAGTGGCATCGTCTATTGCCGATCGGATGGGAATTGCCAAGGCAGATATTTTGAATCCTGAGTCAGATAATGCGGCAGTCAAGCTTGCGCTTGCAGAGACGCACGTTATCCAAGAGACGAAGTCGTACCTAGAGTCCCAGGGGGTCATCTTATCGTCATTTTCTTCCCGAGCGCGATCCGATACTACGATACTCGTGAAGAACATCCCCTATGGCACCACTGCAGAACAGATACGTGAGATGTTCGAGTCACATGGGGAACTCAGCCGCATTATCGTACCACCGGCAGGTACCATGGCGGTGGTAGAATTCGGACAGGCAAATGAAGCTGCCAAGGCTTTCCGAGCTGTAGCTTACCGACGTCTCGGAAGTAGTGTCGTCTACTTGGAGAAGGGTCCGATGGGCATGTTCCAAGAAACTACGGATGCACCAGGAAACTCTGGCCGTACGCTAACAACTGCATTCAAGCCGATCACTATCGCCGAGCAGGAAGCTGGCGGCGGTGCTGATGCGGACGAGCCTGCTTTGTCTGCTGGATCGACTTTGTTCGTCAAGAATCTGGCTTTCAGTACCACTCCAGAGCGTCTGATACAAGTCTTCCGGGGTCTTCCTGGATTCTCGTTCGCGCGAGTACAGACCAAGCCTGATCCCAAACGACCTACTGTTCCTGGTGCTGAAGCCCCCCGGCTGAGTATGGGGTATGGCTTCGTGGGGTTCAAGACGGCCGAAGATGCGAAGAAGGCTATGAAGAGTATGCAAGGCTTTACACTTGACGGACATTCATTGCACGTCAAGTTCGCTGGGCGCGGAACAGAAGACGAGCCTAAGGACAATACAGTCGCCAAGAGCACGACGACGAAGATGATAGTGAAAAACGTTCCGTTCGAAGCTACGAAGAAGGATATCAGAGAGCTGTTTGGGTCAGTACAATCTACCGTCTATGTTCCTAACGTCTCATTCAACCTGGACCTTATACAGCGCCCATGGTCATCTCAAATCTGTACGTCTTCCGAAGAAGTTCGACTCGCGTTCGCGTGGTTTCGCGTTCTTGGAGTTCCTCACCCGGCATGAAGCGGAGAATGCGTACGCTGCACTACGACACACACATTTACTTGGGAGACATCTTGTACTTCAGTGGGCGGAAGAGGCTGAACAGGACATAGAGGTGCTACGGAAGAAGGCGGGTGTGGGGTATGGTGATGGTGCTGAACTGCCTGGGCGTAAACGGAAGCTTGAAATTGCGGGCGATGATACTGGTGGCGACGTAGAATGATGACGTATATAGAACAACCTCACTTCATTTACCAGGACATTTTGGTACCACGATTAGACGCGACGCGTCTATTTCCACGCCACCGACATTAGGTCAATGGCATCACGCATAACTTGAACTACAATGTTAACTACAACTTCAAACCAATTGGTCCCTCTTCAACGATGCACAACGTTGACGAGGATATGCAGACATCGCCTCCTCCAGCAAAACGACAACGCACGAGCCACTGCAGAAAATCTGAATCATTGATTGAACAGTCGCAGTTTTGGTTTGCCGACGGGGACATTGTGATTGGTGTTGAAGGGCAATCATGGAAGATTCACAGGAGCAAGCTCATGTGTTCTGTAATTTTTGCGGACATGCTCGAACTTCCGCAGCCGGCCGATATCGAGAGAATGGATGGGTGTCCTTTGGTTAGTTTATCACAAGATTCCGCGAATGACTGGCTAGTTGTCTTGACGTGGATGTACCAACGCGAGTAAGCCATCTCCTCATCCTTCGAACTATCATTGTATACGACCACACCTCTAGGAAGTTCAATAACCAAACCGTTGTCTTTGATACCATAGCCGGGGCCCTACGACTATCCAACAAATATGACATCCCAGACTTCCGTCAATGGAGCATGCGTCAGCTATTTCTGCGCTGGCCCCAAGACCTCACCAACATGACCTATGCCGCATTCCCTCATGCTGCTGGTGAGCTTTCCTTTTCTCCTGTAGATCGGTCTAAAATGTATCCTAGAGGCCATATGCCTTGCACGAGAATGCAATGTTCCTGAGATCCTCCCCGCCTCATTCTATGCGCTTTCGATTCTCCGTTGGAGCCATCTATCCGAGGGCGGTCAAAGCCACCTCCAATTATCCCCATCAGATCTTCGGTGCTTCATAGTCGGACGCGAACACCTTCAAGATCATCTATACGCAATCTTGACTGGTACAGGCGAGCAGCCAGGTGGACACACCACAGCTATTTGTGCTGGTTGCGAGAACACATCTCGGACGTGGCTCAGCTCATCGTTGAAGCCGGACACTTCCTCTCCGTATGGAGTGTGGCTTCTTCGTAACTTGCAACTCTTTGCTGCGAACGGCTGTCCAGGCTTGAGTTTACATCACAGCCGCTGTGATGTGAACTTTCGTCTGCGAATCAGCGGGTTCGTTCAAGACCTTCACGAAGCGATTCCTAGATATTTCATGCTACGAACATGAATTCACTATTATAAAACAGGCATACTCGAAGTTTGTTGCACGCCTTTCCAATACACAAACAACCAAATTTTAGAGCAACGTCTTGGCTCCCGCGTTCTTCGCGTTTACGATTTTTATCTCATCTACATATTTTTTTTTCGTTCTCCATCACTTTTATCATTATACAGTATTTCTTGGCTACATCAGCGTATAATAATCCGTGGGCTATTGGGGTATCGGATGAGTCAGATTGTTGTGTACAGAAAAATCAAAGTTGTCTTGTCGTCTCATAAAGGAACCCCAATGTGTGCTAAGATGCGCCTCCTAGTAGATAAAATGAGCTCAATCAATCGCTTGAAGATACGTAGCTCCCTCGCTGCCCAGATGAACCACAGTATAAACATGGTAACAACCACGCATACACTGATGACTGATGCCAACAGGGCCGTTGTCGTAGACTTGAACGCGTTGTACAGCAGGGCGATTGAGAAGTAAATCATCCTAGTAAGAGGAAAGGTTATTGTCATTAGCCCTAGTCAGAGAATATCCATCCCACTTACCCCCACATGAGCATCGCGTAAGGGAGACTATTGATCGTCGCAAGGCCTTTATCCCCAAAAAGCGTGTCAGTCATATTGTACAGGAAGTCACCCTGTGCAGACTGGTTAGCACGAGATAGATACACGCCAAGGTGACGACTCACTGCTTTGTCCGCTGATTCACAACCATATCTTTGGTTTTGACGGACCAGCAGGACTGAGACGACCAAGGAGCCGGTGATCGAGATGATCGAGAGATATATAGTAATGATCCCGACCGACTCTGACGTGGAAATGTTCACATTCGGTACTGCAAGAAAACTCAAATCTACAGCTAACATGACGGTGGACTGGTGAAAAAACTCAGGATACAATCATGACGTGAGTTGATGATACGCACGTAGATGGTGATTCCGGTCCACTCTGCCATGAGCTTTGCATTGTAATCTTTCCACCGCGGCGAGTTAATACACCTATCTACCCACACCCTTCGAAGATCATGCAAGTGTGCTTGTGGTGCCCAAAAAAGTACGGCGTCAAGGGCCAAAGAAAGACTACTGATCAGTGGATGAAAGCTAGCAATCTCGTCGTATACAGATTTGTCGGCATCGAGACGAGCGCAAGGTAGACCGCAGAAGTTGTAATATTTAGATTTGCCTTTGAAACACATGAGCTGCGCGCCGAAACGTCAAGATTAAGAACATACAGAAGTAATGCATGAATCTGGCTATTGCGGAAATAGTAAATCTCAGGGGTATGTTGCACTGTGTAATAGCTTCACGTACCAATGACACAAGTGGAATGAGGGAAGTCGGTTTCCTGAACGTTCTCTGGAAATATGTAATATTTTAGACTTTACAAGGTAAACGGTTCCAACAAGACTTGTTGCACCTTGAAGATGGTTTACCAGCTCCAGGATTTTGGAAAGCTCGTCCGCACCAAAGGGCGACAAAGAAGCATCCGAAGTGATAATCTCTGAGTTTTGAGTTCAAAAAAGGGGAAAGAGATTATGACAGGAGATCAATTACCTGCACTCACATGGACAACAACCTCTCTCAGTTCTTTCAGGAGCTTGACCCGATTCAGCTCGTGTTTCGGGTAGCGTTCGCAATGCATCCTACTCGTTTCAGTCAAAGATGGTCACATTGTATCTTAAAAACACATCGACAATCAAGTGAGAATCGGTCCGAATAGAATAAGCTAGAAGTGGGTGAGACTCACGATTACAAGTGACAAACCAGTATTGAGACTCCAAGGCATATCCTGTTGACTAGTTCATATCACGAGCGCCATAAGTTCACACAACGTACGAATGTGACTCGGATCACAGACGCCTTGGAGACCGTCAAAGACAGTTTCTGTCGCTTGGTCGTACACGTGTAGCCAAAAGAGAGTTCGGGTTTCATGATCGACAAAGTAGTACTGGCAAGAATCTGTCTGATTCGGCACTACCTGCACAACGAGCTCGATGTCACCAGCGTCAAAGTTTGGTGATTTTGTGCGTGCCAAGTCGTATAGCGCATCCGCACATTTGTCCATCAAGCGGAACAAATATTCATTAATGTGTCCTTCGGTGAAAGTTCTCTGTAGGGATTGTGGTTGATGGTCGATGACAGATATGGACTTACTTACTTTGCGGCCATTGTACAGATACAGCGCGCCTTCTGGATGTATACATGGCTGCCATTCACCACTCAACCAAGGACATGATCTGTACTATTCGTAATCCGCTTTCCCATAAATGCCTGGCTGGTGTACTCACTGGTTGGGGAAGGACCTCATGAATGCTGGAATTCCGATGGAGTCAGATGTATCTCTGGGTGGCAACTTCTTAAGGTCATTCACTGTGATGGATTGCATCCACGTACACAAAAGGACGGTTCTCGTAACGTGATTTATGATCTACAGCAGATGGCAGAAAATGGAGAGTGATGGGGAGGCTATTGGGAGAGATTGCATTACCGACTGCTGGAGGCAAAGACGTCCAAGTCTGTGGCGAATTAGCGAGCTGTGGAACGCTTGGAACAGGCATGGTGTATGGAGGTGTTGAAGCCACGGAGCTTGCTGCACTCGACGGAGTAGTGTGAAGCGGTAATGGCAAGGTGGACTGGGAACATTGTGCACTAGAAGTCCCAGTACGACGCGAGTCTACAGTGGAAAACTTGGAGTTAGTATCATGCGAGATTGAAACATGAACCTTGGCCACAAAGTGTCGAAAGCATGACACGAGAATGAGCAGTCGCCGTGCAGATGAAGTTGCGAGCGTCGCCAACACTTGGAACAGACGTTTCAAGAGCTTTCGAATCAATGTCGTGTTCATCATCTGTTGTGTATTGTTCAGCGACTCTCATACACACGTTGCCTGAGGAGGATGGAAGATGACTGGAGATGGACGTGATTGGACTTTATCTGAAGCGTGACTGGAACGCAGGCACTGTTCTTTCATATAAATTTATGGACGAGTTTGACCAAAAAATAAATGTCACCTAGCTTGAATCTGAAGGCAGGAAACGAGTTGATGAGTCAACTAAATAATTAGGTTCGACAACTAGTAGTACTTAGTAGTGTTGGGCTACTTTGTTGAAGTAACTGAATAACGTTAGACCGAACGTTAATTATAGCACGCTCAATTCTGCCGTTTTTCTCTGCCTTGTTCCTCTGAACTCTTGCTGACCTCACGATGCTTTAGGTTCATCCCACCTCCACCTGGTTAATGATTCTGAGGACTCCGAGTGAGTATGTACGTGGAGCGCTCAGGAAGCGGGATCATGAGTCATGACACTATCAGAAATTCGCAACGATATGCTAGCCAATCCTTGTACATCTGACTCATTTGCAGTCTCCTTTATTTTGATTATAACTGCTCCTCTAATCAATTGGACAATACCAAGAATTTATAGTAATGCTGCGCCCCAGCATTCTCAATCGACTCAATCTCCTCAGCCGTCAATTCTGGAACATTGGCGGTATCAAGATACTCTCTCATCCTATCCGCCTTGCTCGAAGTGCTGATCGATAATATGTAAGCACCCACAACAATACAGCATATCCAGAACGGATGGAACTTACGTGACGACCAGGATACCATTCTGTTGCAACCACTTGATCAGTACCTGGCCGACTGACACAGATTGCCCTCGCGTGGACTCAAGGCGTTCCCGTATTTTCTCGATGACGGGATCCAGGGGTCCCCCGGGTACGCGGAAGACGGGCGATAGGCCACCATAAGAGGACGTGACGATGCCGTGCTCTTTATGCAAAGCTATCACAGGCTGTAGAGATTTCCACACATACGGGTGGAGCTCTACCTATCATGATGGGTGTTTTTCAAGACTGATACTGACACTGAAGTGATTTAACTCGCCTGGTTGACCGAAGGCGGAAACTCAGCGCCCTCCAAGATCTCTTGCAAATGCGCAACTTCGAAATTCGACACCCCAATGGACTTCGCCAATCCTTCCCTCTTACATTCCTCCATCATCTTCCACACCTCCTTCAGTCGGCCTGCATGATGTCCAGGCGCGTGCACAAGGTATAGATCCACGTACTCTAAACCTAATTTCTTCAACGACACCTGCAGTGCGGTTTTGGCAGTCTGGTCAGGCTGCAGTCCATTGAGTTTAGTAGTAATGAAGAGCGCGGATCGCGGGGTTCCACAGGCCCTGATTGCCATGCCCAAGCTCTCTTCATTATTGTACATCTGGGCACCGTCCAAGTGCGTGAAACCGTTGACGATGGCGCTTTCTACAGGGCTCTGTACATCTTGGTCGCGAAGCGCCGTGCCAGTACCAAAGGCGATCCAGGGAACTTGATTGCCGTCGTTGAGAGTAAGTGTGGATATCGGCATACTGTCAATGTGGGGTTGATGAAGACATCCAAACTATGGAGCAGTAGTACTTATACCTTTAGCTATCTGTTATCAACGTAGCTTGAACAGAGACCAATCAGCAAGGGCATCGTAAAAATACTACGCCTGCTGCGCAGTGCGAACTGCTGCAGCAAACTGCTGGGACTGCTACGGCAACTGCCGCGACCACCGCTGGTGCTGTCATGGCCACGGTGAGACTTGAGCTTGAGTGCGCATCAACTACACTTACTGCTAGTTACCGGAACCTCCCATTGCTTGTCCTCCAAAAAAGCCATGAATTTGAACGTGCTCCGATTCATTAAGAAATCTGTCTGATAGGCTTCCTCCCAAGAAAACAGGCGAGCACAACTTCCATCAGGCCAACTATCCCAGAGCTAAGATAAATTAGCATGGGTATCTTGAAGTCACCTGTTTGGTATCTAACTTAGCGTGGGCAGTGATAGGTGCTTTGTTTAGTGTTAGCGGGTCCTTTTAGCTCAGACAGGAAAGTGATTCATGCGATCATACAATCTGGATTGGCTGTCACTTGTCTTCTAGTACTAATAGTAATTACCACGATTCAGATGTCGGACAGGGCGAGTTTCACTCCATGTCAATTCCGCCTGTACTCAACGATCATGTCTGCAGCGTTTGAGCATTGGCTTTTTTACACCTACAAGTACTTGTCCCCAGTGTTGGACTTCACACAAGTTCGATAGACACGCAGATTCAAACACGCAATCTGCATTGCGCCTGACATCTAGAATTGTCTCGTATCCTTGCCAGCACTACTTATATTCAATATTCATTGTACATGGTTCTGCTTAAAGGTCTGATCCCGCACAGCAGTTGCCCCGTGTACAATATGCCGTCAACACGATGATAGGGGCCTCAGGCCTGAGGTTTATGAGTTCTAGTCGTCCGAGGGCTTAACGTTCAGTGCGACGAGGAACCTGCGGATGCCGTATCAAAATATGATCAGATTTGACGCGAGGACAGGCTTACGGGCGTCGTCCTTTCAGTGTCGTCGCGCTTAACAGTGTAACGAGGAATCTGCGGATGTTGTATGACAATATGATCAGATTTGACGCTAGGAGAGGCTTACGGGCGTCGTCCTTTCAGTGTCGTCGGGCTTAACACTGTAACGAGGCAGCTGCGGATGTCGTATATCAATACTATGATGAGATTTGACGCGAGGAGAGGCTTACCGGCGCTCCAGCGCTGACAATGGTCGTCAGGCCAAGGAGCACAATGAAAGCAGTAGAAAGGCGGATAAGCATGATGAGTTTACTTCACTTATAGAGAACAGGTTGTTGGCGACTTGATTGTTGGTGCTGTTTTTTTTATACTCGACAGAAAAGGGCATCCAGTCGTGTTCTGGCCATACTGGTAAAATTGAAATCAAACCGTTCATGGTATTCACCTAAAGGAGTCAACTGGCCCGAGACGATGGAATCGGATGCTATTTAGCCAGCTGCAGGACTACAAAATGAAGGCGGATACATACTTAGTATTACGGTCCGTGTGCTTTTTTCCATCAGTCCCTGATTTCCAAGTTGGTGGGGAGGAGAGCATTGTAGCAAACTATCGTGTTCCTATCATGTCCTGGCACCAATGATGGCCCGCCGTGACTTGCCGATAGACCATCGGGGTAATAGAACTTGTCTTCGATAACGGCCGTTCCCCGACTCATCCTATCAATACACGACAAACAGCGAAAACAGCGCGTTTAACGGACGATACCACTGAGCCAACGGGTGCGAGTTACTTGTGCGTTTGCAACTTTCACTTTTTGATATTCATTCTAGCCAAATGCCACGAAACCGGAAGAAGGTCGCTACCACTGCATGCTAGGCAGTTAGTGTACCTGCTACATTAGTAATATTGGTGACTAGTTATCCGCACTTGACAAAAGCGACCCGTGCCTGCAGCCCTAGCGTGAACGACTGATAGGTGAGTTACAGGTAAATCTCACCAGTTGTTGGCCCTTGGGTTCATAGTATGAAATGCTTCCTTGCCTTATGGTATTCCGGCAAGGGGATAACACAACATGCATGTCATCATGAAGGTCACCCGCTTGCCACATGCGGGTTGAATTCGCGATACATGTTGATCAGTGGCATCTGCTGATATGAATGTTTTCAGTTGACATCGTTTTGACTAGCCTGTCACGGTAGGTGAATGGCAGAAATTTGCGTTGGTTCACATTCTAGGTAGTCCATCTGTGACGAGTTCTTATCCAATCCGGGATGGACACAGTACCAGGGCGCACCACTAAGAAGACTGGTGATATCTCAGATATTAAGTTAGTTGCCGATCCTCGAATTTTGGATAAAGGTGATGCCATGGTCTTGTCATCACAGATAAGACGACGTTGAGTTGGTGGATAAGGATAGCGTGCTTCAAGTTCGAGGCGGGTGCCAGTGATGTGATCAGGCTAACAAACTGAATGACGAAGGAGGTATGGTTCCGAAGGTTTAAAGAATACATATTTTAGCTCAATTTTAGCTCTAACCATCAGGTAATCAGGAAGGAATAAAGAAGCTAACTTGTGAAAAGTCAGCGACTTTGGGTAAACTCTGAGGTTGCTCCGCACCGGTAAGAGAGTAGCAAGCGGGAGTGACAGTGATTATGGAACGTCGACATGGGCAAGGTTATCGAAACATTGACGGGGCACGCAAGGGAAGTGCGGTCTGTGTGCTAGAGTTCAGGCGGATAAACGGATCCAGAGATGAGACATTCAGAGCTTGTGGTGCCTGCCATGGACCTCGAATTTGCAATTTGACAAAGTTCGGACACAGCCACGTGGGCTGTGCGCGAAATCAATACCATTTCACTATCTCCAATTCTCGCAAGCACACTTGATGCTTAAGCAAGATAACGCAACTATGGAACTTGGAAACCATCAATCAACCCATCACTTCACCATGAAGCTGACAGAGAAGCTTTTCAACAGATGGGAAAGTTCCTCGTCACTACCTGCCGCGACCACCGCCTAGTACACATGGGACATTTCCACTATCGTCAAAGGAGCTGGCCTTTTGTCAGATATTGTAAGCTTCGTCTTCAATGGCATCACGCTTACAACGAGCTTGTTCATCCTCCCAGGTGATCTCTTCGGATGCTGATCTTCGTTCATCAGTGATCACAAAGTGCTGCCAACAAACCAGTGTTCAATCCAGATGTGTTTGTTGACAAATACATCGCTTCTGGCTACTCTGATACCACACCACGTCGATGGGGAGAAGCCCCCTAGATCGCCGAAGCTCAAACTTTGCCAAATTCCTCAAGCGTTTTTTGAAAATGTCCCCTTGATGCCACGCGATCCCTCTTTGTTCCTGACTTTATTTTTACAGAGGAACTATCACGCAAGAAAGAAGATGACTGCCGACTCCTCCCAATACTTATGTTTTGGCCATTGGACCATCACAGGGGACAGCATCATCACAGGCGCAACCACTTACCATTACGAGGGAATCAGTACTGAGATGGCGATTGCCACGTTGTCACATCCTGATATTGACATAACTCAGGCCAGATACTGGACTCGGTTCTTACTCTGGATCGGCTGCATCTCTTTTCAACACTCAGACGGTCAATAGTAAGTACTAAATATGGCTGATTTGGCATATCTCGGACATTCCTATGTGGCATGCTTCGTGGACCGTGGTACATTGACTACAACTTGGTATATAGTTGGCAGTCAGTTCTCGTGTCGACAACTGCATGCTGCTGCTGGTGCAGTGAATGTGAATCAAATATGGGACTGAATTGCACAGACCGTGTTTGTTGCCACCGTCTCTTGAGAATCACCTTGCAAAAAGTACGATGACAACATCCCAAGACAAGCCGATAGATGTTTGATTGGTCGGTGATGGAGGAAGACTGTTCATTGTGTTCATTTGGCACTGCACAGATACGAGTACATAGAGGAACGTAGGCGTAGATCTGGACGAGCAGAAAATTGCGACCAGGATGGCCAGATTGCGAATTAGCTAGTAATAGTATGGCGACAGAGGTGAAAAACTCTGGTTGGACGTGAAAATAAAGGCCGCTAGTGAGAAGAACACGATGGGTCTAGTTGGACTTTCAACGAAAATGTGGCGCAAGGGGATAGATACGGATACTGGAGAACCATACGCATTGGACCTGAGGAGAAACACAAGGATGCAGGCCGGTGGGATAGTATGGTTGCGATGTCGAGGGCACTGCAGATGAAGGAAGCGGGTATTTGTTTCAAAATTATAGCGTTGGGCGCTTAATATTAATCTGCACAGCCAGTGTTGATGCTGTGGAGCAAACACGAGGATAAAAGAGGCAAACGCGCTAGTAGAAGACTTTGACAACGACCTCCCTCCTAACTTGAATCTCCATCGAACGAAACACCCACTCCGTCACAGATTTTGTTCCGTATTCATCTTTCTGTGCACAAGTCAAGTACATCTAGATTCAGAGTAGTAAGTGATGGGTTCATATGGTAAGAGCTGAAATTATGACGTATCCATTGAGTGAATCTCACAACCAAGATAATGTCGCATCCAGCCCCTGCGAAACATGAGAATTCGGGGACAATGCCTTACCGAAAGATCGAAGTAAAGCAAGCCACCCCCATCACCAACATCCTACACCTGCCGGGGGGACAGCGAATCATCATCCTTTCACAGGATGGGTCATTTGGAATCTGGGACTTGGAAACGGGCACACAGGTCGAGGAATGGGAGGACAAGTTTACTTTCATGGCATTGTCGCCGGACGGCAAGACATTAGTAAGCAGGGTTTTGGATGGCGCAGTCACTGCAGTGAAGTTGTGGAGTATCGACACGGGCAAGGTTATCAAAACATTAACGGGGCACACAGATACAGTTCCTATGTGCTGGAGTCCAGATGGAGGGCGAGTGCTGGGCATATCCGCAAGATCCTCAAGAACCGCAGAAGGCTCGCAGACATTCAGAGTGTGGGATGTAAAGAGCGGAGAAACTATCGTTGGACCAATTAAGGCAGGAGGATTCCTGCACACGGTTTGCTACTCGCCAGATGGAAAGGTGATTGCCACAGCGGGGGACGATGGGCTGAAAATCTGGGATGCCAACACAGGCAAATTGCTCAGAACATTCCAGTGTCATTTTTGGTGCCTGGCATGGACCTCTAATGGAAAAACACTTACCACCTGGGGCAGGCAGCCTGTGCCACTGGGGAAATTCCAGATGATGAAATTTGACACAGCCACTTGGGCTGTTCTTCACGTGCCCGAAGACTTGGTCGATTCCTCTATCAATTCCGTTTTACCATCTCCCGATGGGCGCTTCTTTGCAACTATATCAGTCCTCAACAGGACAGCGCGACTATGGAATATCGAAACCAATCAACCCATCGGAACACCACTTCATCATGAGCACAGGGTGTACTATGGGACATTTTCTGCAGATGGAAAGTTCCTCTTCACTAACTGCCAGGACAATCACGTATATATGTGGGATGTTTCTGCTATTGTCAAAGAAGCTGGCCTTTCAGATATTGTAATCTTACATACATTTCATTCTAAATGACGCTGACAACAGCTTCCTCAGGTCGATACTACACCGCGACCAGCTCCAAAGATGAAAGATCCTCCTCGAATACCCCCAGGGTTCTTTGACGATGCACTGCGAGAGGCTAATGTACGTGATCTCCATCTGTTATTCGATGCTTTGACTTATATATTCTCAGTTGCGCATTCGTCTATCCCAATCCCATGGGCCACATGACCACCCCACTCCTGTACCACGTCAACGCACCTTCAGTCGCTTTCCCTCCTTCTGGCGTCGCTCAAAGTCGCACGGGGAAACTGAGCACCATACTCGACCTCTATCCCACTCTCTTAACTGGACTCGAAAGTTCAGGCGAGATGGATCAGACATTGAATTGCGAGAGGTCGAGGTCCCTTACACAGCGGGAAAACCTGTGCGTTTTTTTGTTTCACGATTCTCCTTTGCCGCTGACTCATTCTCGTGCAGAGAAATTATCATGCTAGAAAGAAGCCAACTAGCCGCCCGTCTCAAGCTCCCAAAATTCATACCATGCAAAAACCTAACGCATCATCATCACAGCTACCTGCTACTGCCTCGACGATTTCCGGTGTCGCTGGTACCGCTGAGGCATCAGGAACACCTTCGCGTCCTCACATCACTGGTACTGGATGGCGCGTTCGTTTCGTGGGCTGGATTTGCTGCATGCCTATTCAGAACACAGACGGTCACCATTAGCGAAGCGATTTTTGACTTTTGTGTTTCATTCGTATTTT